AGAGGGAGTGATGTGCTTCCGATGGGCTGACTTCTTGCGTTTCCAATTCTTTGAGGTCAAGCCTTCAATCCGGTTTGTTTGTTTTTTCAGTTAACTGTTCCTGAAACTCCAGATGTCACCGAAGAAACGTTGCAGCGCCCATGCATGTGACGCCGAACTTCTTGAACACCTCTGTGAAATCGTTTGGACGCGTTGATTGGCCGCGCGAGAGACGGGTGATGTGGCAGAAGCTTCCCAGGCCCAGCAGATACCAAAACTCTGCTACATCGGTCACGGCTGCCGACTTCCCGTGCGCTCGGACTGTCAAGACGCGCAGTTTGTCAAGGGCCCGTGGTGTCAGCTTTTCAAGCTGTGATTTTCATGCACAGTTGAGTGGATGCCGACCAGCATCAATCAGAAAGGGGAGATTCCAAGCAGCAGATGAAGCGGCATGCCGAATGCAATCCTAGTGATACGCTGTTGAATTTTTTTGCCCCCAACGACGCATGGAAGGAGCAGGAGAGATATGCGCAGGTCCAGGTGATGTCTGCTTTTAGAGTACATGCCGCAAGACAAAGGTTTTTTCACCCGTTCGTTGAAGCCAAACACATGCTCAAAGACCTGGTGGGGTGCAACGAACAGCTTGGTTCATGTGACAGGCAGTGAGAACCTGGAGGTACTGAGTCCAAATTCAGCCTCTCCCCAAACGATGATTTTTGAACAGTGTTCGAGGCATCGGGCCAACCGCTGACACCATCCGCTGCGGGTTTGTGGTCAACGCACCCACCTCACAGTCGCACACACGTGGGGACGATCAGCGTTTGCTCACGGCTCCTGGTTACAGGGACCTGTTCAAGTCAGATCATCACGTGCCAATGCAACCAAATGTGCCAGCGTACCCAAGAAAGGTTGACAACAAACAGGTCAAACATAGACAAAAAACAGGACAAGGCACACAGATTGACGAACAGACGCAGAGTGAAAACCAGTCGTTGTGTAATTTTGACAGGTTGTGGTCGCGTGTGTCAAAAAGGCACGGCCAGCGGTTGGGTTGCCCGAGAAGGTGGTGTTCGAGACCGCGCAGGACAGCGCTCGGTGGTACCCAGGCCCCGGTGGTACCCAGGCCCCAGGCGCCGGGGAGTGCTGAAGCGCCGATAGCTTCTGCCGTGCGCCAACAGACTCCTCGCCGCATGCCGCATGCGTTTGTGAGGGCAAGTGCTGCTGGCGAGTTTGATGTTTCACCTTGAGACTCGCCGTGCTAATGCGGGAGGGTGGATAGATGACCCACATGAATTTGAGGGCATGGCTACGGCGATTGCACGAAGGGAGCGCGGTACACGACCCCCCTGTTTTGTAGCTTGCAGGTTCCTGTTGTCGTGCCGTGGGCCCGTCTGACTTGGAAACGCTGTGCCGTGGCGGCTTCGTGGTCCGCAACGAGTCCCACGAAGCAGCGCCGGGCAGAGCGTTCCTGTCCCACCACTTGAATGCGTGGGTTTTGCTGGCACTACGCCCATTGAATGGCAAATGCAGCCTTTGAGCCAACCTATGCGATACAGGGGCAAATGGGGGGAGGACGAATGTTTGTAGAAGGTTTTGGCAAAGTTCGGGCAAAGAACAGTTCAACAACTTGGATTGCGATGAGTAAAAAAAATCAATTATTTGTATGCCCCCCCCCTTGTGTAGTTCTCAAAATTATGGGTTCGTTTGGCGGGGCCTGATTCGTTAAGTTCTACGGGTCACTCTTGCAAGGCATGGTTTGCAAGGCAGGTTGCATTTTAGGGAAGCTTCCTCTATCGAATCAGGTGGCCGGCGTACTGAAATGCGAGCTTGAGTTTGCATTGCAAAGCAAAGGGGGGGTGTCTCCATTGGGGCCAAACACTTGACGGGCCCAACGGGCCCAACGAGCCCCAACCGGCCCAACGATCCTGACGGGGTTCCCAGCGGGCCCCCAACGGGCCCCCGACGGGCAACGGGCCAACGGGCCTGTGAGGCACAACTTTTCTTTCTACCGCAGTGTTTGTTTGCGTGTGTCTGGTGCGCGCAACAAGAGCAGGTGTGCAGCGGTTATTTATGCGGCGGTATTTATTTGGAACTCAACTCATACACAGGATGTAGTATGTGGGGCCCTAGCTTGTTTAGACTATATATGACTATATAGTTAAGTAGAAAGACATGTAACAGTATCTGATTGGGACTACTGTAGTAGGAGGTCACACACATACACACACTATCTCGGTCAGACTTTTCTAGCATCATTAAGCAAACGTATTTCGTTTATGTGGGGCGCTACCTTGCTCACAAGCAAACATTGATTATAGACTGACAAGCAAATAGGGCACGCCGTGGACGGCTCTAGTGAAACCTAAATGAAAATTGTAGCTCATTTGTTCTAGGGTGAAGTACACAGAAACACCACTGTGACAAATGCGGCGGCATGAAACGAAACGAGCCTGAAACGCACCCTGCATAGCAAACATTAGCAAACCAAAAGCACCAGCACGCAGCCTTCGATTTTGACACCCCAGATACGGACAGTGACTCATGACTCGTTAACGCAAATGCATTGGATTGACTATTTGCATACACTTTGGGGAACCTTTCCGTTGGTCCCGTCCACGCACATATCGCGCTACAGCGCCTGATCTTCAGTGCAACTTTGTTGGGCCGAGGAAAATTCATCGCAGGTTGCCGCATGGCAGACACAAGGTTGAGGGTTGCTGCTCGGGACAAAATATTGATATATCAATTCTACTGACCCCCCTCCCTTGCTGGCACCGCTATCATCACCCATCTACCATAGCCTGATGTCCACCCACTGGCAGTAACCAGGACACAGCTTTGCCGCTGTGCATGCATGCAAGCGTTTACACCTCATTTTTTGATGCAAGCCAACCTCCACGCACCATATTGTTTCCTACAAACGTTCTTGCAACACGGCCGTTAGGCAAAAACCTCACCACGCGGCAGCCTTACGCAAGCCAGCGTTGACACACCATATTCGTCGCCACCAGCGAACGTTGGCGCAACACAGCCGCTGCGCAAAGCCGTGTTGACAAACTTCGCCAGACCACATGCTTAGCAACCTTCCTTCATGTTCCAGGTCACGCGTGACATACGACCGCTGTTGCGCGGCACAGTTTAGCACCAGTGTTGAGAAACCACGACGCCACGGGTTGTAGCAACCCCTGTTCTCTGACAGAGGTCATGTGTTTCACACACCGCACTCTTTACATTTCTCATATGTTCGTGGTGCTTCTCTAGCTTTCGTGTTTCCCTGCCTGTCTCAAGGGTATACTACATTGAGCCACTAAAAACTGACCAGTTAAGGTTTTGATGTTGCTGGAAACTTTTTCAGGAAAAATCCTTCGCAAACACCCCCGTGTGGTTTATATCTTATTGTCGGGTTTTGGTCTCTGAGATGGGGTTGTGACCGATGAGTCTTGGAACATTTTGCGTATATTCCTTGTTTGGCTGGCATTCCTGACTGCAGGTGTTTGATCTATTGTAGTACCGTTTCGCCAGGTACCAAAATCAATGAAGGTTTTTTTGAAGCGAATACATGGAGGCCCCCGCAATATAGTATAAAGTGTCTGTATCTCAGTGACTGGGTGAACTTCAACAGAAAAACGTTCACCTTTATACAGGGCGTGCATATCGGTTTGGGTGGTGGCGTGTACTGGATGAATACAGGGGGGCCCTCCGCTCCTCAGCGACATCCTTTGGCAAACGCCCAGCACCAGCGGTCTCCCGCCTCGTGCCCTGACGGCGCCCCGTGGCTTGGACTTTCGCCCGTGTCGGTTGCTGCAGTGCTGTTCCCCCTTCAATGCACATCTGGCAACGGGCCAGTATAAAAACTGTCCAAAGTTTGAGCCGCGAACTTTCGCTGCGGAAAAAAGGGGTTTTAGGGTGTTTAAACTGGTGTTGCACCCGTTATTATTTGATGTATAACAAGAAAGGTCTGGACAAGGCAGAGCTTTCCAACATCAAGGGAAGGGGCACTTAGTTAAAAACCGAGTGCAATAATAATGAGGTCATTATGTCGAGCTGTTTCACACCTTTGTCATTGAACCATCCAAACAGCAAACGTCCTGGTTGAAACCTAGCCGTCTCATACGCAGACCGAAGCCGGCCTAACATGTATAAACTCAAGGCGGCATGTTGCAACCCCAGCCAACCACAAATATCCACATCTCATTCCACAATCCAATTAGGAAACCACTCTGCATAGTTCAGCCTCCATAAATTCTTTGAGCCTTCTGGGCCCACAAACAAGGTAACAAACATGTGAGTTCAATTTGCGCTCCCTGCTCCAACAAACCTAACCAAACCTAGGCTTTATAGAATCAAGCGGGGCAATGGGGCAACCCCAGTTCCAGGACCAACGCCCGCACCAAATTGAAACAACAAAGCCCAACCAGCTAGGGAAGACATCATTCACGCCATGCCAGGGAAGACATCATTCATGCAGTTTCTTGTCATGATTGTGCCTGACAAATTGATGTTTTGTTTTGCTTGTGGTATGCACTGTAAGGTTTCGTGGATGACATTGTGTCATGCCAAGGATGACATCATGTCTTGCCATGGGAAACATCATGCCATGCCAAGGGTGCCAAGGATGACATCATGCCATGCCGGGTGAAATCATGTCATGCCATGGGTGGCATCATGTCAGGGTTGTGCCTGACAAATTGGGAAGCCTAGTTCTTTATTTTCGGAGGCTTGACTTGACCCAGCGGGGCATTTGCAGATACAAAAGCGCACCCCAAGGATGGTCAAGTGAATTTCACGGCGGATGTGGGGTGACGGTCCTTGCTCAACAAAATTTGTTCGCCCATAAAAACGGCAATGTTCAAGTTCACGCAGGGTCCACCCACACCATGCTTGGCGAAACGTGATACAAGATACAGCATGGGCCTTCTTTGTGCCAGGGCATGCTGACCAAGGCGCAAGGGCCCCAGCAAAGGCACGTGGGTGATTGGAATCATTGTTATTGGGGCATATGGAGGCCGAACATGTTCAGTGCATTGCGTGGCCATGGCATGCATGTGGCTCAGTCATGGCGAACTTTTAGTGTACATGTGTGGCTGGGTTCATTGATCGTCACCTTGGTTATTTCAAATGCACAGCCGACCGTCACAAGCATAGTGCTCGGTATTTTTTCTCCTCCAGCCTGCTGAGCACGCAGCCGCCGCACCGGATGCATGATGGGGAGCAAAAACGCAACAAGTGGGACGTGGTGGAACTGCAGAAACGCGCAGGCGAAGTGCGGATAGATAACGGACTTGCGTGACAAAACTCAGTAATAATGTTTTGAGGAAATCCGTTGTGGTGCTTTTGAAGGCAAGCCAACTCCTCTTTAAATCCATGATTTTGATTGGCCAGGTTTTGGTTTTCACTTGAATGCGGTTTGATTGCAGGTTTGGGTTTGGTTGCGCGTTGTGGTGGTGTTCTGTTGATGGGTTTTTCGATTAAAACAAATTGGTGAGTTTTGGTCCCCAAGCAGCCGGCCAATACCAGGTGGAGGTGTGACGTTTGTCAGCATCGTGCGGGTGTTTGAACGGGATTTGGGTGAGGGCAAACGAGTATGCAAACCCAACATTTTTAGGGGCAACACCCCAGTACCATGCAGCAGACCCCGGCCACCTTCCAAGTTTTCAGTTCCAGTAACTTCAGTTTCATATGGCCACCTTTCAAGGCCGCACATAAAAACACGCACCTTCATGTTGTTTTTATTCGGAAACAAACAGCCGGCAAAAAGTAATGTGGGAGTTGTCACCAAGTGTTCGTGTGTTTGCAGTTTTCAAGCTCTGAATGTGTGAACGTGAAAACAAAAGACCTCTTGGTGGGGCCGTTTTTGTTTTTTGTTTGTGGAAGTATGTATACATATATATACACTTGTTTTTGTAGGTGTAATTATTCTACCATACACGGTTTCTCGTTTTTTCTCTACATTTGGTTTTGGATACCACCAACTAGCGCGCGCAGGTGTCATTGTCGTCCTCGTTGTGGCTTTGCTGGTGCCAATGTGGAGGTCGCCACCGTTCTGCCACGCAGTGCTCTGCATTGTTTTGGCTGGAGGACGCCGTGTTGTTAATTTTTAGGGTACATTTGATATAGCGACGTGACCTTTTCATTTACGTTCCCTCCTGCTGCTTGTTGTTTGCACAACTGATCTACCTATCAAGTTGCCTGCGGCCATCACATTGAAGGATGTTTAGAATTTTGGTGGGCAGCTTGCAGTCACGCAGTTGGGACACAGGCGGGCAAACGGTGGCGAGCCAACTTCCGTGTGCCAAACAAAAGCCGAATGCAGTGTTGTTACAATATTGTTTGGCAACCTGTTGTGTGTATGGCTGCTCAACGCGGTGGGTTGGAGACATGGTTGGAGCTATTCAAACGCGCAAACACATTTTGTCAGTGTCAGGAATACATTCTCTTGACTGTCCTGTTCCTCGGATGGTTCCTGCCATCGTTGGCTGGCTTGCAAGTGTACCAAGATGTGGTCGGGCACAAGTGTTTGGTGGCCATTCAACTGCAAGCCAGGGTGACAGAATCGTGATACTGACGATTCTAACGACTGAACTTTACTTACATGCTCTTGTCCCCTGATTTGTCATGTGCCCCACGGGGTCGCCAGGAATGCCTTGTGATCCAATTGGCGGTGGGTGACTCAGCGCAGATGCTGGTTGGGCGCAGCATGGGGCGACACTATGCGTGCCCAACAATCTCGCCCAAGAAAACATATGAAGGCCTGGATGCTGGTGTGGGTGTGTTTGGGCGCGTTTCTCTTGACCTCGCAAATTGGTTGTGAGGGTTGTGGAACTTGCAAGCTGTCCGGGGCACGTGTCACGTTTATTGAAACCTGGAGTGAGGGTTGCTTGTTTCGTTGCATTTGATGAGCTGGAAGGTTATTTGGGTGGTGCTGCAATCACCTTACTGTATGCATCAGTCGTCCATCGGTGGCCCAGTTTGAATGTCATCGTGGCCTACACCTTTGGCAGCTCCCACTGGAATTTTCAACCTTCAACATTTTCATGATTTCAATGTTTCTTCGTCTGGGGTAAGTTCGTTAGTGGGACATTTCCAGGTTTGGTTGCAATTTGGTCGCCAAATGATTTCAAGTTCCCCTACAATCTTTGCAGCTCGTTTTCCACCAAGTCCCAGCATCTACAAAATTGATTAGGCAGCATATTCTCGTGAGACATTGAGTAAGTGTTTTTGTGCAGGTTGCATCGGGGATTTGTACTTCTCGGTGGTAAAACGCCGCCTGGGAATCAAAGACTACTCGCGACTTCTATCCTCCCATGGTTTCTGAGCTGCATTGGCAGGTTCGCTGCATGTTTCACCGCTTTGATGTCGAAATTGGTTTAGTCGGTGTTTCTGTCAACGCAAGACGCCAGCGAGCATGAATTGGACTAAAGTCTAAAGATTCACCATTGCACCGTCCACAAAATACAGGAGAGATGGGGAGGGAGAGCGATGGACTGGATTGATGCTATCGCTTCCAGCAATCAAAGGAGAGGCTACCGTGAGCGTGCGAGCGTGCAATCGCACACCAGTAGGAATGTCATTGAATCGGTGAAAGTGACCTGCCCCAGTGACATGCATCGTGAACTTGGACATAAAAATCGTAATAGCATTAAGGTTCCTGGCACCGCTCGTTTTTAAAGAATCTCTCTCGCTCACAGATCTCTATTTCTTTCTCTGTTTCTCTCTTTGTTTTTTTCCGTCTCTCTGTCTCTCCGTGTCTGTCTCTTTGTGTCTGTCTCTCTATGTCTGTCCGTCTCTGTCTGTCTGTCTGCCTGCCTGCCTGGCTGTCTGCCTGGCTGCCTGCCTGCCTGGCTGGTTGGCTGGCTGTTTGTCTGCCTGCCTGGCTGTCTGCCTGGCTGCCTGCCTGCCTGGCTGGCTGGCTGGCTGTCTGTCTGCCTGCCTGGCTGTCTGCCTGGCTGCCTGCCTGCCTGCCTGCCTGGCTGGCTGGCTGGCTGGCTGGCTGTCTGTCTGTCTGTCTGGACCGGTCCTGTCCTGTCCTGTCCTGTCCTGTCCTGTCCTGTCCTGGTCTGTTTGTCTATGTGTTTATGTCTATCTGTTGTGCCTGTTTGTTTCTCTCTCTCTCTCTCTCTCTCCCTCTCTCTCGCTCTCTCTCTCTCTCTCTCTCGTGAGTTGGTCCATCAACGCTTATTGTGCCCAGGTGGCCTGCTTGATCGCTTCGATTCCTTCATCTTCGCCTCCAACGCGCTGGTCTGGAAGGCGGTGCTCTTCGGCTACAGCTGACGGTGGGCGGTGCGAGGTCCGCGGTGAGCGGGGTGTCGCGGTGCGAGGTTTGCGTGGGTCGCGTGGGCTGGGGGAACGCATTGGAGAAGCCATGCGAAGAGAACGGGTTGTGGACCGAGTCAGAGACCGACTCTGGGACCGACCTAGCAGGACTCCAATGGATGCCAGGATCTGCTGCTATGGCACGGCAAGGGTTTCAGCACTGAGCATGGCATCAGTCCATGAGAGTGCCTTCTTTTGTGAGGCGCCTCCGAGGACGCGGTACGGGCGGCGAGTACGTACGCGGTTCCGAGTGCCGGGATCACCTCACAATCCGAGCTCCATGCCCGCAGCGAGCGGTTGGGCGATATGGCCAGTGATCGATGGACACAGCGCTCACAGTGCCAGCACTTCCAGCAGCTCCAACTGATGTTTCTTCGGGCAGCTCCAACTACTGTAGGCTCTTGTTTCGGGGCAGAAAAGATCATAGCCATAGCAAAACCGCCCAAGCTGCAAGGCACTAGTGGCCTGAGGGTAGTGGCACTGAGCTCACTCTACCTCTCTAATGTTGCTCCCTCTCTCCCTCTCTCCCTCTCTGTCTCTCTCTCTCTCTCTCTCTTTGTCTTTCTCTTTCTCTTTCTCTCTCTCTCTCTCTCTCTCTCCTCTCTCTCTCTGATTCTCTCTCTCTCTCTGTTCCTCTCTCTCAGTTTCTTTGTTTCTCTCTCTCTCTCTCTTTGTTTCTCTCTCTCTCTCTGTTTCTCTCTCTCTCTCTCTCTCTTTGCTTCTCTCTTTCTCTCTTTGTTTCTCTCTCTCTCTCTCTCTTCTCTTCTCTTCTCTTCTCTTCTCTTCTCTTCTCTTCTCTTC